GCCCACTCTCTTTCTTTCTTTCTTTTTTTCTTTCTTTCTTTCTTTCTTTCTTTCTGCAGGGAGGGTGGTGAGGAGAGGATGGACACCAAGGTCAAGAGTGCCAGAGAGGGAGGCTAGCGGAGTAGCAAGGACAGTGGGCAGCCTGGTTGGGGCTCCCCCTTTAACCTTCTTCCCTGAAGCCTCGCCCCTGGGAGGAGAGAGACAAGGAGGGAAGCAGAGTTTGGAGTAGGAGAAGGAAGGAAGGAAGGAAGGAGGAAGAGGAAGAGGATGGAGGGGGGGGGGGGAGGGGAGCCTCCTTGCAATTCTCTGAGGAAGAGGAAGACCCTTGTTTTATTCTTCTAAGCCAGAAGCTGAAGCCCCTCAAGCCCCCCCCCCCCCCCGGCTACATGCCTGCATGTCAGGGGAACTTTGAATTGTGCTTTTCCTGCATGGCAGGGGGTTGGACTAGATGGCCCATGTGGTCTCTTCCAACTCTATGTTTCCATGAGTCTATGTGTCTAATGATTAAAGATTCTGGATCTAGCTTGGAAGGTAGTATTCAGGTCTTAGGACAATGAACAGTGGGAAAAGATCATTTAGGTTTCTGGTTGCATAGTTAAAAGCAACTCTTCTGTTTCATGCTGTCTGGAACAGAGCTTGGAATGTTACTTTTTAAAAGGAACTAGTTTCTTTATTCATTACTTTGATTATTGGGATGTATTCATTACTACATCCCAGCCAGTTTACCGCTTGTTAGGATTTCTGGGAGTTGAAGGCCAAAACATCTGGGGACTCGCAGGTTGAGAACCACTGACTTAGAAGGTCATTACTTGTCACTGTTGTAGAAGTCTAGAAAGTATCTCTTTTTGAGTTATTTTTAATTAGTAAGCTCCAGTTTGTGATAGGATGTATGGCAATGGAAAATACAAAGAAATGTTTTCTGGCTCCTCCAAGTGAGAAAGTCAAATATTGCAGCTTCAGAAATCTGTGCAAATTGCAAAAGCAATCCTTCTGAACTGTATAAGAAAACAGCTATAGATATGACACTTCCTCTCCTTCCATTGCTTAGACGAATAAGCAAACACACCCAACAATAAGCATCTAACATACACCTGTTCTTATTCTACTGCAAAGTCGTGATTGAATGTCCTGGTTGATATTGGCAAAAAGTAACTATATTACAGCTTGTAACTCAAAAAGTAACTTTGTTGAAGCAATTCATTGGAAATAGGAGTTACTTCCTTGCCTTGGTTGACTGATAGTTTTCAGATGAATTAAGAATTTTAAAATATACTGCATAGAAGAGCTGGCCTCTTCTTTTCTCTAGCTACCTAAAGCATGTGTTGTCTGTGTTTCTGTATTTGAGCCAATTTTTCCATGTTTCTCGTTTTAAGAGAAATGCATTTGTAGATTCTCTACTGTTATATTTTCATCAGACAGAAATGCCATCAGGTTAGCATTAAATATGCTTGCAGTTCAACTAAAACGACATATGCTTTGGACTTGAAAAAAAAATATGCCACATAAAATAATGCTCTAAAAATACAGTTCTTTGCTAGTCCAGGGCCTCCATTTTCCTGCAACTAATTTCTTCATTTGTGCTTGCACAAATCCCAAACCATAGCTTACCTGGGCATGCCTGCATCAGAAAAACATTGGTAACACTGATTTGGGATTTCTGTAATAACCCAACTAGGCATGTCCTGATGCTCTCCAATCTGACATGGCAGCACAGTTAATCCAAACCTCCTTTAAAGTCGGCCAAGTGGCATATCTGGACTGTATACCCTGAAGCACTTTCAACCCTTTCTCTTCCTGCTACTGGATATCTTCTCTCCTTCTATGTAAACAGCATCTTTCTTTTTGTCATGTCTGAGGCTTCCCTTATTTTCAGGCATACATTTTGAAGTCCAGTAGTAAAGTTTCTTTTCCATTTTCCAAGGATGGCTGAAGTGTGTGAAAACTGACAACCTGGGCTCCTTTTTTTGTAGGTGAAATAAGTTTGGCAACCTGTTTTAGTGAAGTCTTTTTTATTAAAATTTGATCTGATTGCCCATCTTTTTCCCCAACTGACTTACATCAAACTTAAAATACAGACAGAAATACAAAATGATAACACAATTAAACAAATCATCATATTAAAGCACAACTGAATGAAGAGCTTTTTAAAAAGCAATAAATCAATAAAAAGAAATTTTTGATTTCTCCTCAATGACCATTATATATTCCTATTATGTATGAAACACATTTCAGATTTCTGTTTGCTGTTTTAGTCCCCATAAGTGAATGAGGCTGAAGCAACTTTTTATACATTAATCACACCACATGTTGCATTGACATGTATAAACATACATTCCCAATAAATATGCAGTATACCTGCGATATTTCTTTAAACTGGTTCAGAGCTGAATTAACGGTCATACCTAAATCCTGAAAAAACCTTTGAGTTGTGTTTTCATGAGGCTGTTGTAGAAGTCGCTACATTTTTCATAAGCTTCATTTCCAAAGTGTCTTCATTTGTAGGAAGCTATTTTGATTGTGTCCCAAATGTAGGACGTGTTTATTTGAAAATGGCTCCAGATTCATACCATATTTGAATTGCTGGAGATAGTAAAATGCTTTTTCTAGAGCAGGCAGTAATGGAAAAGAGTTGGGAGAGGAATGGAAGAATTATGATTTTAGCAGTTCAAATAAAATTTTAAAATTCACGGTCTCAGTCCAACATCTCAAGTGAGTATATGGCTCAGTGTAGCATAGGTCCATATATGGACACATGTGGACCTATGCTACACTGAGTGATATACCCCCCCTTAACTAACTGTAAGGTCCCTGAAATCAACATGCATAGCTATTTGATGCTTTGCAGTGAATAGGCAAAGAAGTGACTATTACAAGCTTTTGCTTACTATAAGTTTTATATCATCCAATTACTATAATGTTGAGTTTGCATGGATGCATTCATAGAAGCATAAAGTTAAAAGAGGGCAAAAGGCCATCTAATCCAAACCTCTGCCAAGCATGGAGAAATATTTCACTGAAAAAGCTGTCATTGCCATTTGCATTGACAACTGCAGCATTGTATCTGAAGAATTAATATATTAAAGGGTATCTATCCCAGAAACAAATATTCAGTGGCAGTTGCAGCTGCAGCAAAAAAAAAAAAATGTTTTTCAGACCTTTGAAGACTGGAATTTTTTTTAAAAAAAGCATTCTGAGACCTTAGGACCCTTTCCTTTTGCCTAAGTTGTCCTTTCAGCATTGCCATCAACCAGACAGACAAAAAAGCCTATGCCTGATAGCATGCCCAATATTTTTAAAAATGACCCCTACACATTCATCTGGAGAGCAAAATTTCTGGAATTAACCACAGCAGCCTGTATTATAAAAGAAGCAATCTACTACTTCATTTAAAAAGTGGATTCTCTCTTTTGCTAAAGCTACAGTTCTCTTGTGTGTATCCAGTGCTGAATGGTCTTCTTCTAAGAGCACTCCACTCCAGCATCTTCGTTATGGCCACAGTTGTGTTGACCCCATATTCGTTTAGGACATGAGACAATCGTGTTTTCTTTTCCTGTGCAGTGCACGTCATCCAGCCAGATTTGTCCAGATCCTGATATCAGAAAAAAATGAAACTAAAGATGAAACGAGTCACCACAGATTGATTAAAAAACAAACAAATCACCAAACAGATCCATAATGGTGGTCCTCAATCAAAGATCTTAGTGAGCTTAAGTCCTGGAAAAATAGGATTTCCTAATGGGGGAAGTAAGGGCTTATACTTGAGTCAATAAGTTTTCCCAGTTTTTTGTAGTAAAATTGGGTGCCTTGATTTATATTCATGTCGGCTTATACTTGAGTATATATGGTACCTTACAGAGAAGAGTGCAGTGGGGTGTTTTTTTTGCACATATGTTTTCTACATACAAAACCGCTTTTCTATGCATGAGCCTTCTGTTCAGGAAACCTAATTTTCTGTACAAAACAGGTCCTCTATGCATAGATAATTATCCTGTTAACATTTTGGGATGTTCAGATGCCAAGAGATAACTACATAAAATTCTGACAATTTTCTGTAGTGTTTCCTGTTACGAAACCTGTTTTTTGACATGTAAATGAATAGTGATGCATATTTTCCCCATCCTTTCCTTGAATACCCTCATCTTTTTCTTTCTGATTCTTCTATTGCCTATAGAACTATTGAAGATCTGCTACAAGTTGTAGCAGCCACACAAATAAAACCCCACCCAAATTCCAAAGCCAGGATTTAAGTTTTTTCCAAAAGGTCAGGAGAGAGGGGACAGATCTAATGTTATTGGGGAGAGCGTTCCACAGCCGAGGGGCCACCATGGAGATGGCCCTGACTCTCATCCCCACCAGTCACGACTGCAAAGGATATTGAAAAAAATAAAGTAAGGGTGAGGCCTTGCCTGAAAAATTCTGGTTACTTCCTTACCGTTCCTTGCCTTCAGTCCTTTCTGAAGACAAAACCCTCTACTGCACATCTCTGGCTTTCTCTGAGTCTTTGGAAAATGAAGATCCTGCCTCAGTTTTACTGCCAAGTTCACAGCTAAAGGCTTTTATGCAATGCTGTTTCCCATGCAGTCAAAGTACATTACCTGAAACCAAATTTCTCCTTTTTTGACTTGATGAAATTAGGCAGAGAAAACATTTGTAAATTACCTGGAGATGCAGTGAAGACCTCAACTACATTTTGAAATCCCAGCATTCGACAAATCACTATTCCGTCTTTTGCATCCCAGTCATCATTACATATGGTGCCCCATACTCCATTGTGTTGAATCTCAATTCGGCCACGTCTCACCCCTCCAATAAGTCTGACAGGATGGTCTTGCGATTCTGCATGGTTTTTAAAAAATATTAAATACATTGTGAAATCAAAAGACAAAGAAAAACTAATAAGGTTTGGGTCAGGATCAATTCGAGTAAATGTTCAGTGCTATTTCTTCATTTGTTTGTTCCGAAATCTCTATAAAGTCTTCTGGGAGTTTCTAAAAGATGTTGTCCATGGCCAACTCAGTAACTCCCGAACATGTTTTCTCATTTTGAAAATACAGAATTTTGCCATAACAGTGAAAACTTTTAAAAGAGAGAGCTAATGGACTGGGAATTAATTCTTTGAGGATTTCTACATCCAGCATTTGCCTTTTGTTTGGACTACAATTGACAAGTTTTACCTATATAGAATCCAAAGGTTTTTCCAGGTGTTACAGACACTTCTTGAGAAACTCAACTTTCTATGCCTAAGAAAGGGACAATTAGCTTGACACAGGAGAGGGGCAGCCTGGATTTCAAGTGACTTTTATATTGCTAAATAGAGATAGAATTTTAATTAATTAATTAATTAATTAATAATCTTTATTTTTTTGACCACCCTATCTCCCCAGGGGGACTCAGGGTGGTTTACACATCCAACGGCAAATATTCAATGCCCGACATACACCAAAACATTACAACAATAAACATAACATGGAATAATAATAGAATTGTCCTAATCGAATGAAATTAAAAATAAAAATAGAAACATGGAAAACTAGTAACTAAACAAGTCAATTTGAAATCATGGTCAACAATAAAGCATCTAACATAATCAGCAGAATTAAAAATTGGGAAAACATTTTTATTGCTTGTCTGTTATTATTCTTTTTCTCAGTACCAATAATGCCTGCACTGAGACCCCTCTAGAAGAACTGAACTACAATATAAACAACATCTGATATAAAATGTAAATATGTAATTTTGCCACCATCATCTTTCTCCTTTTCTATGATAAAAACTTTGCTTGAGGAAGAAGGCAGTGAAGCTTAGAAAACTGCATTTTGGTTGGGCAATAAAGTTATTTCTCTTTTGTGGATCTTGTTGTGTTGTCCATATCAGTAACCTTTCCCAACCTCTAGAGAGGTTTCACATACAGTGTAATACAAGAATTTACGATGCTAACATGGGAACTGAGACACTAGTGGAATGATAAACACAGAAAAAGGGATATTATGTGCAAAAGTATTTATTGATTACTGTAACCTTTATTACTGTAACCTTGATTAACCTTAGGTCCTTTCCTTTCCCCCAAAATTAGTAGGTCAAGATAGCTCATGCTTGGGCCCTCTCTTTAAGTGTTTTGGACTGCAACTCCCACCATTCCTAACAGCCTCGGCCCCTTTCTTTCCCCCCAAATTAGTTTAAGTGGAAAGGAAAGAAAGGGAAGGAATTGTGGGAGCTGAAGTCCAAAACACCCGGAGGGATCAAGTTTGCCCATGCCTGGTATATACAAATCTTTTTATAGGCAGAACCAGTCCAATTTATCTTGGTATCACTTTTATTCATATATTATTTTCTGTTTGGCACAGTTTCTGTTTGTGACGCAGTGAAACACCTAGAGCCCTTCCACACAGCCCAATGTCCCAGAATATCAAGGAAGAAAATCCCACAATATCTGCTTTGAACTGGGTTATCTGAGTCCACGCTGCCATATATTCCAGTTCAAAGGAGATAATGTGGGATTTTCTGCTCTGATATTCTGGGATATAGAGCTGTGTGGAAGGACCCCCCAACAGTTCATGTGGCTCTACAGAGCACAGAAAAACTCCCCAAACTTTACCAGTGTAATTTTACATATTTGTTGGAGAATAGAAGAGCAAGAAAAAAATGTTCATTACCTGAAGTCCCCTTTTCACCTTTAAGCCCTTGTATCCCCTGGGCTCCTGATTGAACATAAAAATGAACAAATGCAACATGCAGATTACTGAGTGGAAACTTTTGCAGTAACAAATTTTTAATGAAAACTTGCTCTTTCTTGCTCTCATAGCAGAGAAAAAAAAAGATTTATCTCTGATGATAATGATAGACAGGTCTTCTGTCTTCTAACTATATTCAGGAGTTGTCTCCTGCCCAGGTCATATAGATGTGGACACTTCTTCCTCCCAGTCCCTCCTCCAGCATTCGCATAATATGTAGTATTATGTAGTATTTCACATCCAGTGGCCTGTTGCTTAGGGCCCTTCCACACAGTCCTATATCCCAGAATATCAAGGCAGAAAATCCCACAATATCTGGTTTGAACTGGGTTCTCTGAGTCCACACCCAGATATTGTGGGATTTTCTGCCGGCACAGTGCTTTAACACACTGCACCACTTTATGGTAGACTCCCATACTTGGCTGACGGACAGCCTCTTACATTTTGTAAAATGAGTTAGAAATATACTCAAATCTACTAATACAACAGCAAGGTGTTTTATGATATGAAAATTCTCATTTGTCCATATTATGGAATTGGACTGGTGACAGATGCTCTTGCCAATGCATCCTAGTTATAGTCTTGCAGTAATTGATTTCCCTTAATTTTATGAAAAGTTATTACTACTAATAAATCAGTCAACCACAGCATCCTTGTAAGAAAGGCAGATAAGTGACTGAAAACATGAACTGCCCAAAAGTACCTGATAGTTATAATTCCTCATAAAATTGGTTCAAATCAATTGCTGACAAGAGAGTAAGAGAGAAGGGGGGGGGGAATAGAAGGAAAGGGAGAATAATACAACTAACTTGTGTCAGCAAAAACATTTCTCAATCAAAAGCCAGTTCCATTTTGCTATTTTTAGTGAGGTTTTCACAGTTACAGAGATGCTTTTGAAACCAATCTTATACTATATTATAAATCTAATTGCTATCATAAAATTAGAATTCAGGGAAGTTACTGTTGTGGTTGGCATCTCGCAGAATCCCTCACCATGAGGGTCTTGGGGTATTACCATCAAACTTTAATACTAGTGGCAGGCATCTAGCCAGAGGGAGGGGCTTGGGGGGCTTCCCCCCCCCCCCCCTCCGAAATTCTCATGGTGGTCCACAAAAAGGCCTTACTGGTGCATTATTTAAACTGTTATGTTTATTCATATCATGATCTGATCACCATGCTCAATATATCCCATATGCATGGGGGTATTGGGGTAACGATACAAAAGGTTTGCTAGGGTAGACCCTCTTTCACTCAGACTCAGCCCCCCCCCCCCCCCGAATCAAACTCAGCTCCCCCCGAAACAAAATCCTGGCTGCGGGCCTGACTAGTGGACTGGCTATACTACTTCCTCCTGCCTCAGTCCATTCAGTCTACTAAGATTACAATACTTGATGGGATCTTGGAGGCCTCTTGTGATCTTTTGATTGTTACAAGATATGCAATGCAGGATACAGATATAATATACTTGACATATGGCTGTCCGGCTTCTGTTTTAAAACCCCCTGAATAATGTCATCTGAGATCTTATCTGACCTTTTGTTATCTGAAAATCTTTTCAGTACTGACGTCTAGTGTCTGCAATGCTTTCTCCAGCAAGCTTTACTAGTGCTACCTATATGGTACTTTTGTTTCCCTGCCTTTAAAAACAATCTTTTAAATAGGTGGAAGTGATGTGTTGTGTTTTGTTTTGTTTTGTTGTTTCCTGTACTAAAGCTCCTCTAACCAGCTAGTTTTACCACAGCTATATCTTGCTGGGTGATTCTGAAAGTAATTGTTGAAGTCCTGGTTCTCTTGAATTTTTATATGCTGGATTGAGAGAAATGTTTTTACAGTATTGTGTATTCTGTTTTCATATTATATGTAATTCTAACCTGTCTTACATAGGTCTGGGAGTGTTGAAAGCATAGATAATAATGACAGTATTTTTTTAAAAAAAAACCTGAGCTTCATTTCTACTGGATCATTAGTTTCCTTGAATAATATACAGGCAGTCCCAGAGTTATAAAGATCCAACTTGCAAACAACTGATAGTTAAGAATGGAGGTGAGACAACAAGAAATGAGAGAAGTCTACCCCCAGGGAGAAAAATTAACTCCTGAAAGAATTATCATGGGAAAAAGGTGTCTCAACTGAAGCTTTATCATCAATTCTTGTTTCCAAAAGAAGCCCATTTTTAAAAATCCAATTATCACAGGGACAGAAAGTAAGGTGAAATCTTCTTAACAGGGGTACAGACAGCAAAACAAACACCACAGGTGTGTTAACCCCTATGCTATGCAAAGTGTGTGTGTGTGCCTGTTTCGACTTACATAAAAATTCAGCTTAAGAACAAACCTACAGAACCTTTCCTGTTCATAACTTGGGGACTGTCACTAATAATTAAGAACGCTTCAGTTCTGTTGACTTACCAATTTTCTTGAAAACGGCCAGTAAGTACCTTACCTTTGGTTCCTGCGTCTCCTTTTGCACCCTTACTGCCTGGTACTCCTGAAACATACCCCGGGGCGGGGGGGGGGGGGGGGGGGAGGAGAACAAAACAAAATGATAAAAAGCATAACAACTCCAAATATTATGACAATTTTATTTTCATCTTTATGTGCTAAATTCCAGACAAAGATCTGAAAGTGCAAAATAAACATTCAAACTTCAATCTATGTAGGCCAGTTGTGACCTATAAACATTACAAATATCAGGAAAATACACATTAAGGTCAGAAAAAACCCAGAGAACTAGTGAATATTTTGTTTTTATCACCCCTATGTAAGCCCCTAATTTAGAGACTATTTCCCCGATCTCCATTTACTAGGAAGCAGCTGCTGTGATTAACAAGGGTCTGTTCTGTCTTGATAGGGAACCAGCTGACTGATGGTCTCGTCTCACAAAAGCAATCTCCTATGCAAGAGGAAATTGTGAAAGGGGTTTTGCTTCTGTTTCTTGCACTGGAAATTACTCATAGGGAGAGGTGGAAATATCAGCCAATTATTTCCTTATTGACAGAGGAATAGACCCTCATCGATTGCAGCAGCTACTTCCAGGTAAGTAGGTATTAGAATAGGATTCATAGAATAGCACCGTAACTTCAGTGTTTCAGCATAGGTAAATCCCCAACAGGGTTCCAGTCTGGTTTAAATTGATAGAGATCTAATGGAAACACTACACCACTCTGGAATAAAACTGGGGGGGGGGGGGGAACTAAAGTAAGGCATTTGGAATGGTCATGGAAACGTTTATGGTTCCATTTGCTTCACTAAGTATTTTCACAATTATTTATTTATTTATTGCCTGTTTCAATTTATCAAATGTGAGCCTGGGAATTAAACATATTTTCTTGGTTGCGATCACATCATAGTTCTTTAAAAAGTTGTATTTTGTTCCTACATTGACTTTATGTGTCTCAGATTTATCTTTACCTGGATCACCTTTGCTGCCTTTTAGCCCACTATCTCCTTTTGGTCCTGGTAGCCCTGACAGAAGAAAGAGAACATGTCAGAAATCCCTTAGAAAACAATATCCCAGAGGACTAAATTAGACAATGGATTTATCACATTTTGAGTAAAGGTGTTGCCCCAAGGGGTAAAAGATGTTTGCCATAGCAAGTGTTTTTCCTCACTTATGTATCTTGTACTTAATCACGTGCTTTGTTTTGGGGCTAGTCAGTGGAAGCTAAACAAAAGCTTAATTTGCAAATCTGTTTGCTGAGCCATGTGTCTTTGATGAAATCTCATTTCAGGAGGGAAAATGCAGACAATATTTCTTACACCTAATCTGACTCAAAGAAATGTGGCTGTTTGGTTACCTCGAAGGTTACTTGCTGCTCCTTTCTCTCCCTTTGCACCTTGCAGCCCAGGAGGTCCTGGTGGTCCCCTGATGCCAGGCTCACCTTGTAAGTGAACCAAAGAACACAAATAATCAGAACGATAGAAGAACCACCAAGAAAGCAATGAAAACCTGAGGGCATCATGGACAAACCAGCATCTACATTTTGAAGGACAAGATGCCACACCAACAAGGCAATGAAACTTTCCAGTTTTGGATTTCCAGCACACTTTGTATTAGAAGAAAGGAAAGAGAGAACAGAATAACTTCAGCTGTTTGACATGAGTGTTCTGTTGATGTTGCTTTCATTCTCACTTATGTAAATAGGGACTGATGCACATCTATAAAATAGCATTGCTGGTATTGTTAGAACGGACATGGCAAGAGAGGTTCAGAATCCATTTCTACAGGTAAATAGAAGCCCTATTCATGGACCCATCGAGTTGGAGAAATCAAAACCCCTTTGGGTAAACTGAATGTGGAAGCATTCTTTAGGCAAGTAATAATAGTTGATTAGCATTTACTATGGTAAAGTGTTGTTGTTGTTTTCTGTGGTAGGAGTAAGTATAGGAATAAGTTTATCTTTTGTAAATGTTGTTTTATGCTAATTGATATTGTGATTGGGCTGCTGTCATTGTTATAAATGTGATGCAGTTTACTTGTATTTTATGTGTTTTATGGCACTATTTTGTTTTATTTATGTATAGGGTAGGGACTAATTCCCAAACACCTGCTCACAAATCCATTTTAAGAACCTAAATACCATTTAAGCCAGGAACAGTGTACTTTTTCAGAGGGAAGAAAACTCTTAGAATTTAACAATTCACACTTCCTAATGAATCAGCTCATCATCAAAATCTTTCAACTATCAATGTCACATTTACAATGAGGTATTTTAAACCCCATTTATTTTTGTTCTAACTCTATATCTGACCTTAAACCCCACTGCTCTCATGGGATCTTTTTCCTAGCAAGTGCACTTAGAAGAAATCATGGAGTGTAATCCTATGGATGATAACTCAGAAATAAATTCAACTGCATTCAGTCAGATGTACTTCCAGGTAAGTAATTGGTAAGCATGACCAAATCCAGCAAGGCCTGCATCTGAAGATTATACAGGGCTGTGCTGTTAAGAGAAATTATACGATCAGAAATCTTTGTTACTTAAAAGAGGTGACCAAAATGGCTGAAAAGGGTTTAAATTGCATTTATTCACTATAATATACCTTTGACTCCCGGAAATCCTTGAAGACCGTTCAGACCTGAAATAGAATGTAAACATTTTACTTACATGTATGATGCTGCTTGACTTTTGCTTTTTGAAAAGAACTAATTGAATGTCAAATTCCATGGGGAAAGCATGGAAAATAATAGAGAAAACACAATCTTCTAGATTCTCATTTTAAAATTATGTCTCTAGTTGTGATGAGACCACACAAAAGAAAGGTTACAGTGCTACTGTGAAGGGTGCAATTACAGATTGACTGTTATAAAAACATAACGGTACTGTTCCATTATCCAGGCAGAAACCACAACATAACATCAGCATTAGGAGAGTGGAAAGACTCGACGTTTTCATTAAATGCAAAAAGAGATTGGCAGAAATTGAAATGTGCATTCTCCACCCAGTGCCCAGGAGTATTATTCATTTTAGAGACAACACAAGTGTGAATAAATGTTAGCTGTTTGGGGCTAACCAAGTCATGGTATCCATTTTCAAGAAGAGGAGACACATTTCCCCAAATCCAATGCCATCTCTGTGGATTTTTGACTGATTCCATTTTGCCTTTATTTCTCTTTTCTGTGGCCTCTGCAATGATCAAATCCATTCCAAGACCTGCCTTCCCTATTCTGGTGCTGGAAACCTGAATTAAGTGCAATCTGAAGTAGGAGCAGAAATCAAGAGGCACTGCAGATGTTGCTGAACTTCCATTTCCAGCAATTACAGCAATAGTTAACGTGAAGATAGTGAAGAATCCTTGGAGTAACATCCCAACAACATCTTGCAGCCTGGATGATTCTGTTCTAAAATGCAATAGAATGCATTGACTGTCTCCTGAAGCAAATGTTTCAGGGCAGAGAAAGAAAGATCGAGTTGCTCTCACGATTCTTAAAATGTTTTTCTGCCTTTATCCCTGCCAAAATGAAGGCCTGTTTTTATTTGGTTATTGTCCTTTATTTACATACTTACCTGTTCACTAGTTTCTTTATGGGATAAACCAACTATTGTGGAATGGTGTGGTAGAACATACATTTTAAATGCATTTTAAAAACTCACCAAAAATGCATTAGTAAGGAAATGCTTCTCTATGTAGAAAGAAATTATGTCACTCTAGTACAGTTTTCAGAATGAACTTGTGTCACTGATATAATTATACTACAGGGAGCAAAGCCATTATAGTTGAGTCAGCATGGGGTTTTGTTGTATTCACTCACCTTGGAGACCTCGTTCTCCCTGTACCCCCTTCTGTCCTGGATATCCAGCTGGTCCTGTTGGGCCCACTGCTCCCTTTCCACCAGCTTCTCCTCGGGGCCCTGGGTCACCTATTAAGTAAGTTGGAGCTTGCTTTAACTTATAAGCTTGTTTCTGTTTTTTGTGCAGTACTTCATTTAGGTCTGAGTACTTCAAAGTAATGAGGAGGCGGAGGAGCTTCAATATGCATTTTGATGCTCTGTCTGGGTACAGGCAGATCCTACTGCTGACCCCCCCCCCCTTTCACAATTGAGATTACTACCACCAAAGATGGTGGCAGCTCATGGATCTACGACCCGAAAGCTTCGTATCATTCAGAACGCGGCAGCCAGGTTACTCACAAGAACGCCCATGAAATGCCATATAACACCAGTGCTGCAACACTTACATTGGCTTCCAACTGAGTACTGTGGCCTGTATAAGATGTTAGTTCTGACCTTTAAAATTCTTTACGGCCAGGGTCTATTGTACCTTAGGGACCGCCTCTCCTTCTCCCATCATCAGAGGTTGCAACGACCAGCCCAACGTGACTTACTCCATATACCGGGTCCTAGAGAAGTGCACTAGGAAAGGACCAGATGCAGGGCTTTTTCTATTTCTGCCCCTGCCTTGTGGAATTCCTTGAGAGCCATGAGAGCCATGCGTGACTTAGGGCCTTTTACTCAAGCACTTAAGACCTGGCTTTTTACTAGAGCATTCGATCCCTGTTAATTTTTAATTTTTGTATGTATGTATTTTATCTTTTACAATTTAGCTGTAAATCGCCTGGAGCATTCTCGGATGGAGGGCGATTAATAAGTAATTAAATGATGATGATGATGATGATGATGATGATGATAATGATCAAGGGGTACTTCAAAATAGTGGAGGAGGAGACATTTCCCCTGGTCGGCCCAGGAAATGCCCATGCCCAAAGGCATAGAAATTTATTCATATGCACTATTTTGCATTGCGAAGTATTTTTGCCTTTGAATATGGCCAGAAGGTTCTCAGCTAGTTCCACATGCCCAGCATGCTAACAGTGGATAAATAGTGAACTAGGGCCTGTATCAAGACTGCTACACCAAAATTAATTTGAGGATGATCAGGTTGGGAGAAAAGAAGATTTACTCAACGATCAATGAATGAAGCAAGAGCTTACAAGAGATAAAAGCATAGCCAGTCACTTCAAACAACAGAAAACAACCTTCTTGTAGAAGGTCATGGGGGACTTTGTTGAAGACCTTACTGAAATCAAGGTATGCTACATCCACAACACTCCCTGCATCTACTAAGCTTGTAACTCTCTCAAAAAAGGAGATAAGATTAGTCTGGCATGACTTGTTTTTGAGAAATTGATGTTGACTTTTAGTAATTACATCATTTCTTTCTAAGTGACTGCAGACAGACTCCTTAATTATTTGGTCCAGAATTCTTCCAGGTATTGATGTCAGGCTGACTTCTTGAAGATAGAGACAACATTTGCCCTCTTCCAGTCTACTGGGACTTCTGCTCTCCATGAATTATCAAAGATTATTGCCAGTGGCTCTGAAATTACTTCTGCAAGTTCCTTCAATACCCTTGGATATAGTACATCTGACCCTGGAGACTTGAAGGTAAACTGACTGTGGTACCTATAACTGTTGCCCAAATCTGCTATATAGCTGTATCTAGAAACAAGTTTATTCAGTGGGGCTGAGTTTTGAAAAGACATACTGTATATACTCGAGAATAAATCTAGTTTTTCAGCCCCCTTTTTAGGCTGAAAAGCTCCCCTCGGCTTATGTTCGAGTCAAGGTTATTTATTATTTTACTCTGTTATTAGTATTATTTTATTACATTATTATTTTACTTTATTAATGTTATTATTACATTTATTATTTTACTCTATTATTACTGTTATTATTACATTTTCATTATTTTACTCTATTATTATTATTTATTACATTTATTATTTTACTCTCTTTATTATTGGAAGGACACGTAAGCACATTTACATTGAAGAAGGTTAGAATAATGGTTTAATCAGAGTTGGACAGTCTTTTCTTAAATTACAGTTTTATGTAAATATTCAAAAACCTTTAACCTCCTGATGCCTCAATTAATATAATTTTATTAGTATCTATTTTTGTTTGGAAATGTACCAGCAGGGCCATAGCCAGAAAATTTTTTTGGGGAAAGTTGAAAATGTCAAGGGGGGGATTTGAAATTTGGGGGGGGGGGGTTAGGGTCACGCTGAAACAAAGAGCACAGCAGGGGGCAGAGCAGCCTTCAATAGCTTGCAGCTCTGCCCCTGTCAACCACCTCCACCAAGTCTGGCCTCCTTAATGAGAGCATTCAACACCCCCCCCCCAACTTGGTTGCTTCGCTACATCAGCTATTGCTGCAAGTAATGACAGTGTGAATAAATTGTCAATATTTGCTTGAGATAGTGCTTGCAGTTCTGGAGGGACTCTTAATTTTTTGCGTCTCATAAACTTAGCATGGGGATTTGGTTAACCAGTTAAAATTCATGAGTAAACCAGGTTTTTTAACCTGAAAAATTTCGGGGGGGGGGGTTGAACCCCTAACCCCCCCCCCCCCCCCCCAGCTACATGCCAGTTCAATCTCTCCCAACAGATGGACATCCAGCTTCTGCTAAAAAAAACCTCCATAAGTTTTTTAAGTAGTTTTTTTAAAATTATTCATCTATTATTTTAATAATATTATTATTATTATTATTATTATTATTATTATTATTATTATTATTAAACTTTATTTGTACCCCGCTAGCATCTCCCGAAGGACTCGATGCGGCTTACAAAGGCCAAGGCCTCAACACAACAACAGCATAACAAAACAACTCAAAGCAAAATCAAAAAACATAAAGCAATAACAACAAAACATTACACCGTAACACAGTAAAAACTAGGGCCGGGCCAAGTAATGGGTACAGAATTAAAAAGTGCTGGGTGTGACAGGTGGTATGTTGGATTTCAGGGCAAGTGCAATGTGCAGAGAATCTTAAAATTCTAATAAAGTGCTTCTGGGACATAATGCTGGAGTTTTCCTATTCCGGAAAGGCACATCGGAATAGCCAGGTCTTCAAGCTCTTCCTAAAGACTGCCAACGTGGGTGCTAGTCTGATGTCTTTGGGGAGGGTGTTCCAAAGTCGGGGGGCAACCACCGAAAAGGCCCTGTCCCTCGTCCCCACCAAACGCAGGTGGGATCGCGAGCAGGGCCTCTCCGGATGAACGAAGGGAACGCGTAGGTTTGTAGACAGAGATGCAGTCACGCAGGTAGGCAGGTCCCAAACCGTTTAGGGCTTTGTAGGTAAGCACTCCTTATTGAACCATTCTAACAGAGTTTGACTGAATATTCTATGAACTGTAGCCAAAAAATTACCATTCCTGAACCTTATCTTTAAAATTATATGAACATTTTTAATCTTCTGATCAAATACTCATACCTCGAAGTCCCTTTGCTCCCATATCTCCTTTTAATCCTGGTTCACCTTTTGGCCCAGCAGGTCCAAAATCCCCTTTTGCTCCTTTTGGACCCTCATTTCCAGCTAAACCTGGATTGGAACACATACACACACATACATATTAGATTTTTCCCCACAGGCTGCTTTAGATTTCTGAGCACCAGAAGCAAATCCCTTTTACTATATTTGCCACAGTAATGCTCCTATTACTGATGCCCTCTGGAAATAATTTTGGATAAATAAGGAATTAAGGTGACTATGAGCATTTAGTTTACACAGTGCTTGCCAATTTCACAGGCTAAAGTCTTTTTTAGAAACATAGACTATCTGGTTGGCTGCTGGCTATATACTGTCAGCCAAGTGTGGAAAAGCTTCATATATCTAGATCAGTTGGGTTCCCAAAGTTTGATCTTCTTGATCAGGTGATGCCAAACTAATGCCCATGGGCCTGATCTGATTTGCCAAGGATTTTTCCCTGACCCCCACCAGGCAGGCCTTGCTCCCGCCATGCTGTGGAATCACATTTAGCCCTAGCCAATGTAGTCAATGCTGTGGGATACTGGAGGCTGCAGTCCAACAGCATTCTGAGGGCTGCATACATGCTTCCCACTGCTAATCTATAGCAAGCATTACCTGGAAATCCTTTATCTCCTTTTAATCCTTTGGGTCCCATAGTTCCTGAAACCAAAAGAAGGAGGCACCATTAATAATAAACATGATTGGTTAGGTACAACTTCATTTGCTTTGAGACATCCCATCTGTTTCTACAGCTCCTCTTTGATTACCTGTTTCACCCTTCTCTCCTTGTACACCTGGGTCTCCTCTTGTTCCTGAAATCCCCAAGATACAAATGAAGACATTTAGGCTGCCAGTCATCCAGATACTTTCATAGGAGTAAGTTACACTAAACTTAATGAGCTTTATCCAGGCATTTATTCAGTTCTGGATTACCTGTATCCTAGCAAGACACGGGAGACATCACATCACTCCAGGTTTATCAGCTGGAATTGAACTCAGATGTGTAAATTTTAAAGCAGGTTCTAAGCTTGGATTTAGTTGAAAGATACATTGATCTCAACGGAGCTGTCTTTTTGAAACCAATCAGCTGGAATTTGAAATATTTATTTAGAGCAGTATGAAGCCCCCAGTGGCGCAATGGGTTAAATCCTTGTGCTGACAGGACTGAAGACCATCAGGTCAGAGGTTTGAATCTGGGGACAGCACGGATGAGCTCCCTCTGTCAGCTCCAGCTCCCCATGTGGGGACATGAAGGAAGCCTCCTACAAGGATGGTAAAACATCAAAACATCTGGGCCTCCCCTGGGAAACGTCCCTGCAGATGGCCAATTCTCTCACTCCAGAAGCGACTTGCAGTTTCTCAAGTCGCTCATGACATAAAAAAAAAAATTAGAGCAGTAGTTTCCAAACTGATCCTTCAGGTGTTTGGGGCTACTACATTCAGAAGCAGTAGTCAGCTTGGCTAACAACCAGGAGTTGAAGTCCAAAATATCTGAAAGACCAAAGTTTAAAAACCATTGCTCTAAATAAATGTTTTGTTAAGGTCCAAAATCAATGGATTGCCCCAACTAGAGTAGTTGGGGCTAGCAACTGGATTCAGGCCAAAGTCTTCTCTATTGAACATTAGAGGGATTTATTTATTTATCAAAATGGAAAATCTTACAGAGAAGGCTTAACAAGTGGTTGCATTTATGACATGGATTGAGAATGATGCACTGAAAACCTTGGAAAATATTTTGCTGTAAATCCAGTATAAACATTATATGACATCCCAGTATTGGTTCTGAGTGGAACTCAAGAGCATTGCCCAACATTCACAACGATTATTGTATCAGAATATTATTTCTATATTTTACCTCGTTCTCCTTTGTGTCCAGGCAATCCAAAACCTGAAATGAAAGAAAGGAAAATAGTTGTTTCAAAATTAGTGTGCAGAAAGGTTTCTTTTTCGGTAATCAACTGGAAAATTTGGGACATCCAATAATTTGGTTACCATTTGTCCCTGGCTCTCCTTTGCTTCCTCGGAAACCAGTGTCTCCTTTTTCACCCCTGTCTCCTGAAAAATGTCCAAAACGTAAGAACTGGTTTAAATTACATGAAGATGTACTTGTTCAAAACAGATGAAACTACATTTCCAATTTAATAAAAACACATATTAGCAGTCTGTTCTGGTAGGCTTTGCATGCAATCTGTCTATATGTGCCATAGACTTGATATTTTGGTAGAGTTCCTACTTCAGCCTATTCCTTCATCATTTAGTGATAATTTCAAGCCAATATGTTATTGTGTTGATCTGATCAACCCATTTTGGGGGATACAAGAATGAGAATTTTGACCATTCCTAGATTCCATTCACACTTGAGAATTATAATGCTATGATTCCACTTTAACTGCCATGGTTCTATCCTATGGAATTCTGCAGTTGTCATATGGGGAGGCACTAAGGAAGTTCTCTGGCTGCATATTCTAAATGCTTCTCCCAAATTTTTTTGGATGGAATAATGGCAATTATGATGCAGTGTGCACTGATCTATGACTCTGGAGAACAGGGTTCAAATCCCTGCTTGATCAAGGAAACTCATTGTGTCAATCACATTTTTTCAGCCTTTGAGGAAAGAAAACATCACACCATCTCAACAAATCTTACTAAGAAAACCTCAAGATAAATTTGACTTAGGTTTGGAAGGCACACAACAGCAGCAACTACCAGAACCATAATGCTGTAATTCTGTACTGTGAATGGGACCTGATATGTTGTGCTAAGCGTATTTCAGTCAAGTCTAATGCAGAAGACACAATAACATTGTACCCAGGACAGAGGAAAAAGGACAGAAAACTTTACTCTTATCAGCAGAGTTAAAACATAAACTTGCAATGTTACAAACAGTGCAACAAACTTACATAGTCTTTGTAAGCAATACAGAATAAGGCTTCTTCATCTTCATCCAAATGAGAGAGCAGTAGAAATGGTTGAGCAAAATGCCTGAGCAAATGCTCCTCAGAGCAAAAGCTGGCCTGTATTCTAAAAACCATACAGTTATACCCCACCAGGAGTGGTCCAAACTTACTAGTTGACCTACATTAGCAGCTGCACATAATAATTAACAACATAAGGTTTTCTTTAACACACACACACATACTTAATCCTGTTACGATTTACTGTAACATGATATTCTACTCTGGCTTGACAGATGGCTGCAACTTCTTAATTTGAATTTCATCTCAAACTGGTTTCAGAAAGTAGAGACACACTCCAAGGATAGGCTAAAGAGGCACACATCATGTTCAGTTTAAGGTTCTTGGACTGACATTGTGGCATTTGAACTAAGACAGTGTGCTCCAAACTCAAAATATAAGTGCATGAACACTGACCTTTACTGCCCTGGTCCCCTTTTATTCCTGAAACTCCTCTGTCTCCTTTGGCACCTAAATAGGAAAAAAATTAATTTCAGAGCAATAGAGAAGACAGCAGTAAAATGTTTTAGAAGCTAACATTGTGTATTGAGTTGTTTTTAAAACAAAACTTTACAAGGCACAGACGCAGACACACAATAATAATCAGAGAGAGTATAGAGGATTTTAATGCCAACTTCATGATCAATTACTCTGCATTTGAGTCTATTTTAGAGGAAAGAGCATGCATAAGAATATTTTTATGCCTGCAGGGGGCAGTGACAGTGGGAAGTTTTAGTTGACCATTCCTTCCTGACTGCACAGTGCTGTAAATTGTCTTAAACTTTTATGTAGATCAGTTTGTTTTGCATCATTTTGGATGGTCCCATCCTTGGACTCCTCTTGCTGCCAGATCAAAATTGTTAGGCTTTTAGAATCTGACTGGAGAGTGGTGTGTATATTGTAATTGTCTATTCATGAATTTGAAAGTTTTAATTATATACATTGTTGAGAATTTAAATGAATAAAATGCTTATTAGAGCCTCTTTACACCCACCTGGAAATCCTGGAGGTCCTCGAATTTCATTGTTATCAAGTCGGTCTGAAACAGATATTCATATATTATTGAAGTTGGACAAAACTGTTGAGATTCCTATCAATATAAGTCCATAACCAAGTAAATGTCTTTTTCTTGTGAGAAATGTAAATAATTTCCACCCACACTCCCACACAGAGAACAAACACAAGATATCAACACAAATCCATACGATATTCAAACATATACTAAATCCCTGTAACACTTCAACAAAATTGTTTTAAAAGACAACACAAATGAAAGACGTGTTCTGTCTAGAACAGTCTCTGAAAGGAAAAACTAGGCAACCCTGGCTTGTAATTTGAATCCATTGCTTTGTGTTCTAGTCTCTGGTCTTAGTAGTGCTTCTCTGGGCACAGTCCAGCTTGTCAATATGTGTCTTGAATTGCAGTGCCCAAAAGTGGATGCAATGGATGCAGCTTTTCTGTTGTGATCTGACTAAAGTAGAATAAAGTAGCACTGCTATTTCCCAGGATTTGGATACAATGCTCCTCTTGATGCATGCAAGAATTACATTGTGCTTTTTAACCGGGCTGTGGTGCAGCTAGTTAGCAGCCAGCTGCATTAAATCACTACTGACTGAGAGGTCATGAGTTTAAAGCCAGCCCAGATCAGAATAAGCTCCCGACCATTAATAGTCTAGCTTGCTGTCAACCTATGCAGCCCAAAAGATAGTTGCATCAGACAAGTAGGAAATTTAGGTACCGCTTTAGGCGGGGAGGTTAATTTAACTAATTTATGATGTCATAAAACCTTCCAGCAGCATGCAGAAGAATGAGGAAGTACTCCATCAAAGGACTCAGTGTCACAAGTGGACTGTGAAGTGGCAGCTCCCTCTGTGGCCAGAATCGAGCACATCCTCATGAAGCCGGAAAAACTGGAATGTTAAATGCCTCTGTGTCTGTCTATATATGTTATATGTCTAAATGGCATAAAATGTTTGCCATGTATATATGCATTGTAATCCTCCCCGAGTCTCCTGTGGGGTGAGAAGGGTGGAATATAAATACTATAAATAAATAAATAAATAAATAAATAAATAAATAAATAAATGTTGTTCATTTATGACCGGCACTTCAAATCTGTTAATGTAATTTTGAATTCTGATTCTGTCTGCTGTAGTATTAGCTACCCCATCTGGAATAAGAGTCCAGTATATTCATATTGTGAATTTGCTACTAGACAAATCTTTCTTTGAGCCTGATCCTATTCTTGCCTTTTTTCTGGGTAAGGTTTTTGCCTATGATTTCTTGTGAGGAAAAGAGAAAAACACAATACAATAAGGTGGAATTTTTACATAGGCAATTAGGCACTATCTACACTGAATTATACGACTCTGCACTGACTATTCGAAACTGCATTATATGATCAGTGTTAACTCATATAATGAAGTTTAACCACATAATATGGCACTGTAGATGGACCCCACCCTACCAATGAAATAATGTGAGTTTTGGTTTTTAACCCCCCTCCCCCTTTCCAGAATATGCCATTGCGGGTTAAACCACTAAGCTGCAGAACTTGTGGACCGGAAGGTTGGTGGTTCAAATCCACAGACAGGGCAAGCTCCTGTTGATAGCCCCAGCTTCTGCCAATCTAGTAGTTTGAAAACATGCAAATGTGAAATCAATAGGTAACAGCACTCCATGCAGTCATGCCAGCCACATGACCTAGGAGGTGTCTACGTATAACGCTGGCTCTTTGGCTTAGAAATGGAGATGAGCACCACCCCCAAAAGTCAGACACGACCAGACTTAATATCAAGGGGAATCCTTTACCTTTTCTTTACAATGTGATGGTGTGGAGGAAAAAGTAATATACCTGTAACATTAGCTATTTTCCAATTTACATGTTGATTGTTCAGCTTGATTATCTGGATTTCTTCTTTTAAACTTCTGATCCAATTGTCTTCCCCTCTCTGTGAGTTTGTTCCAAAAACGGTCTCTTTCTGCAGAGTGTCATTGGCAAAATGACTATCTGGTTTTCCTGTTAAAGGTGGACCTTTTTTAATGTTATCTATATCTTTGTGCAGCTTATAGACTGAAAATAGAAAAAAACAGTCACAGAATCAATCATACTGCTCATCACTTATAAAAATGTACAGACTTTCTAACTTATGATGTATAGACTTGTGGCAGCATAATAAAAAGAACTGAAATGCTTAATTGATCAACACTTTGTTGTCTTTCCAGTGAACCAAGTTTTAGTGCATTTAATATCTGCAGTAAAACTAATTGTTATCTATTTGTCAAAACTGTTCTAGATTTTGTTGGGAATTGGAGCTGTTAGGCTCAAAAATAACCCTCACTTGGGGTGATTTCACTAAAAATATAGCAGAGTGCCAGAAACACACTTCATAAACAGCAAAAAACTTACGTGTGGTGAGTCAGGATTAGCTTCTATTGAACAGGATGGCACAGGATTTCAGATTACAAATTTAGGTTCAAAATATTTATTGGAGTAAAAAAAAAATCCATTCTAGATTGAAAAGGTCTTGGAGCTAACTAAGCTCATCTTCTAAGTAAGATAAAGAGAATAAAATATCAAAATATCCATACAGCTACATTTTGCCTGGAGAATGGCAAAATGCATCTTCACTGGAAGGAAGAACAAGGCAGAAGAGAGAAAGGGCAATTGAGAATAACCACATGGCCAAAAGCCAGGGCAATAAAATTAGATTTAAAGAGGAAGTTACCTCATCCACTCAGAGATTCCATTGCTACGTCTTCAAAAGGGGAAGGAGATAGTGGCAAAGAGGGAAGAGTAAAGTCAAAGCCCCTTCGGGAAAAGCATCCATAAGAATGTGGGGAAAGGAATCTCTCACTATCTAGTCTAGCTACACATTGAGGACTGGAGACTTGTTCAGTCCACGGATGAAATCCAACAGATATCTTCTCTTGAAGCTGCAGAAATATCACTTTTTATTATTATTATTAATTTAACTAGGTTCTTGTGGGTTTTTTTTCGGGCTATATCAGTATTTTATATTATATTGTACTATATCATTAGACTGTAATATTATTAGTAATATTTATTATTATGTATTATTTCTCACATTTCTATCCCATCCTTCTCAACCCCCAAGAGGGGGACTCAGGACGGCTTATAATGGGCCCCATTCCGAAGCCATTACATAACAAATTACAAAATTAAAACCACAATTAGACATAAAAGCATAATTAACAATACATAAGACATTGTTAAAACAGTAAAACAGTCTCATCAGCCATATTGTCATTTTAGTCATATTCCCTTAAAGTGCTGTTTGCATCTATTGTCCAAAAGCCTGGTCCCAAAACCATGCCTTTAGTTTCTTTCAAAAAACTAGGAGGGAGGTGGCCAATCTTACCTCAATTGGGAGTGTGTTCCATAGGCGGGGGGCCACCGCCAAGAAGGCCCTATCTCTCCTCCCCGCCAGGCGCATTTGTGCTGTTGACGGGAGCAAGAGCAGGGCCTCCCCAGATGCTCTTAGGTTTTGAGGTGGGACATAGGGGTGGATGCATTCGGACAAGTAAGCTGGGCCAGAACCATATAGAGCTTTATAGGTCAAAACCAGCACTTTGAATTGGGCTCCGAGGTGGACCGGCAGCCAGTGGAGCTGGCACAACAGGGGGTGGTATGCTCCCTGTATGTCGTCCCAGTTTATGAACACAAAACTTTCAGATGGATGATCCACTTCATAGAGCAGCAAAGGGGTAGTGTTGCAAACATGATGATCAGGATGAATCCATTGGTTATCTCAGTCTTAAGGCTGCCAGTCTGTTGCATGCAAGATGTAAGAGAGGGGCAACGATGTTGCTATCTGTCCCCACAAAATAAAATCATGCGACCATTTAGCAGCTGCTCCACCCTTGAAAGGACCAGATATTCCAGCGCTCAGCTGTGAGTCATTACATGCTAAGAAATCAAGTGATGCTCATGCAGGTGGAGTGGGCTCTTGCCTTCTACTGTGATGGACATTTACAACCCTCTGCCCCCTGCCAGGTTTCATCTCCCACAACACACCTTTAACCTCAGCCTACCAGATTCAGCCTGTTACTCCTGTTTTGCCACCTAGGTTCACCTTTCTTGACGTCTTTCCTGGGTGGTTTTTTATGTTTGGTTTTCATCCCGCTGTTTCTCCCTATATTTTCCACCCCTCCCTAACATTCTCTTCAGAAATGCAACTGAAAGAGAAAAAAAGAAGGAAAGAAAGAAGGAAAGGAAGAAATAAAGTAAGAAAAGAAAACACAGAAAACAAAGACTAGAGCTTGGAAAGTTACTTTTTTTTATACCATGCCGAATGGAATTGTGGTAGTGGCAGTCCAGAAAAGGGATGTTTTCAGATCGCATTTCCTAATATATGGAATGATTTTCTAAATGAAGATCCATCTCTGAGATGATGTGGGTAAAATAGGTAAAATGCAGGATATAGTGTCCCGGGATATTTTTAGTTATTTCAGCAATTTATATTGTGTGTGTGTGTGTGTGTGTGTGTGAGAGAGAGAGAGAGAGAGAGAGAGAAAGCGTTAACAGTCACAGTTAGCATCCTGCAGAATAAGAAGCACTTTAAAGGTCTCCCCAGGCTGTCATCGGGATCCTTAAGATAACAAATTTGTCTAGGATGTGGCAGAGAGCATCTGGGAAACAGCTCAAGAGGCAAAAGGGCTGCTAGTTATTTATTGGCATCCTGGGAATTTGTCTTGGGTGAATAAAACATCTTCTATTTTTCTTATTGGAAATGCTCCCCAGTGTTTTGGAGTTTCAAGACTGTGGGTATTTTCAGAAGCATTTTTCCTATGTGTATATGGTACTCCTTTCTGAGCCCTAAGGACAGTTTTCCCCAAACCCGTATATGGAGATGATGGGAGATGTAATCTGACACATCTGGAGGAGAACCACTCTAGAATCAGATTGGCTAAATCTCCTTTTTAAAAAACCCAACAGAAACATTCGCTCATAATTTTGAAATATAGAAATCAATTACACTAATCTTAAAGCAATTTTTATCTGTTAGCATTCCTTGGAGAACATACTTTCTCTTCTTTAGCATAAGTGATTTTCCTCGATATCCAATTTCTCATCCTGGTGGTGGATAATGCCCTTTTGTAGTATAGTTCCTCTGTCATATTAACAAATAAGATATTTTAAATGTTAAAATATGTTCGCTTTTAGATTCAGAATGGTCAATGGCCATTTAAGATGAATTACCTTCATAGGTCAGCAGTCCAACACCTGCAGTGAGCAAAGCCAGGTATATTATAAGTGTAGCCCAAATACAGCAGTTGGAAGCCTTTTTCTGGCTTTTTGGCTCTAAAGTTTGAGAAATAAATAAAAGGAATGATAAAAATGAAATATAATCATAACGACAAATAATAAATAAAAGACACACTTCCATTGCTTGAATCTGCAGATAGGTGATCAATGTATAATGCTATTGATTAAACCTTCACTCAACTAGTTCAAGGGATTGAAATCAATGGCTTCTTAGTAACAAGGTTTGTCCTGAGCTCCAATTAACAGTGAGCAGGTGGTGACAAACTACTGTTTTAATATTTTCTAACCTTTGCCTTATTTCGAAGCTTTCTCATTTTTGTGTCCTCAGAATAATAATAATAATAATAATAATAATAATAATAATAATCTTTATTTGTACCCCACCACCATCTCCCCAAAGGGGACTCGGAGCGGCTTACATGGGGCCTAGCCCGAACAAAATTACAATATAACAATACAAATTACAATCAAATAAACAACATAACAGTAAAATATAAAACATCAAAGCATATAAAGCAATATACACAAAACATAGGAACTAAGTATAATGGCAGACAAACAAAGGGCAGGCCGCATGTACATAAAATGATTTAAAAACTCCGGGTGAGATAAGGGAGGAGAACTAATTGTAAGGGCGAACTCATAGAGAGATAGGAAATTAAGCCAACCTTCATATGTGTTGGGGGAGAGGGGGGGACTCCTGGGACAAGAAGATTGGAGGGGTACTAGCATAAAATTATATGGCTACTCTTTGAAAGTGCAACGGCAGAGCCAAGTCTTAAGACTCTTTTTAAAAGTTTCCAAAGTAGGGGCTTTCCTAATCTCTCCGGGCAGTGAATTCCAGAGTCGGGGGGCCACAGAGGAGAAGGCTCTCTCAGGCCCTTTCTATTCTGCCATGTAATACAGATTATCAAATCAGATAATCCACATTATCTGCTTTGAACTGGATTATATGAGTCTACACTGCCATATAATCCAGTTCGAAGCAGATAATCTAGATTTTATATGGCAGTGTAGAAGAGGTCTCAAAGAACTTGTACATATTTGTCACTGCCAGGTTTACTTGAAATTAAGGTTTAGTAGTACTAGCTAAGCAGAGTGCTGTTCCAAATGAGTTTATTTTTATGTGGTTTTTGTTTTGATTTTATCTCATTGCATTATGCTTTTAACCTCTATGCTCTTGGACTTGTACCTTTGTAAGCCGCCCCAAGTCCCTTTGGGGAGATGGAGGCAGGGTATAAAAATATTGTTGTTGTTGTTGTTGTTGTTGTTGTTGTTATTTACACCAACTGTGGCTCCAGTCCTCAAATTTCTGAAATCTTTGTTTTCAAAGATGGAGACTCCATCACATTCTGAGGCAGCATATCCTACTGCTGAAGACCTCTTACTGTCAGGGAGTTTTTCCTAATACTTAGGAGGAATCTCATTCCCTGTAGTTTGAATATGTTGTTCTTTTCATAGTCTGTGGAGCAGCAGAAAGCAAGCTCTCCCCCTTTGCAATGTAACATCCTTTTAAATATTTAAACAAGGCTATCATGACATCTCTTAATTTTCTGTTCTACAGGCCAAAATATCCAGCTCCCTAAGCTGTTTCTCATTAGGCATGGTTTCTAGACCATTTTACCCTTTGCAGTACCTCCTTTGGACATCTTCTACCTTGTTGACATTCTTGAATTGTAGTGCCCAGAGCTGGACACAGACAGTATTCCGGGTGAAGTCTGACCAGAGCAGATTAAAGTGATACTATACATTTCCTCATTTTATGCAGTATAATTCTATTGATATAGGCTTTTTTAAAAAAAAATCTGCTGCATCTTACTGCTGACTCATGCTCAACTTTTGAGCTACTACAACTGCTAGATCCCTTTCACATGTACTCTTGTCAAGTCTTACTGAAACCAAAGTATACTACATCCACAACATTGTCTTCATCTACTAAGTGTGACACTTTATCAAACCAAGAAACTTGAAAGCACTCTAACAAAATGTATAGAGATATTTTAAATTTCCATTGTATAATGCTATCAAACAGCAAACATACCTTACCGTTTATCTCAAATGATGTGATTATAGGTGATGTGAGCATCTTCTTGTCCGAAAAAGTAAGAGTTCCAATGTTTCTGAAAAATTCATCATCACTGTTTGTTCCTGGGTTGTCCATGATTAAAGTGTTACTTTAAACCAAACTCCTACCAGGTTGAATGTAGACACCAAAGAACAGCTAGAATAACTCTCTCTTTCTCTCTTTCTGAACGTGTAGTGGGTGAGGGCTCCTAATTTTATCTACTGGATATGCATAGTAACAGATGAACATTTTCTATTGGTTTTGCAAGTAGGGGTGTTTTTTGTATTAATTTGCAAAAAAACTTTCTGACATGGTACTTTTTTAACTTCCTCCAAAACTTCTCAATGTTTGTCAAAGACAGCAAATAAGGAGAGTTACCTAAAACATGAGATCCTTCTTTTTTTCATTGTGAACTTCTCTTGTCAGCATGATGATGATAGTTTCTTGCCATAATGTCATTACTGTTGAACTGACACTATTTATTTATTTATTTATTGCCCTTTTATACAGCTTTTCTCACCTCTTGTGGGGGGACGGGGACGGGACTCAAAGCAGTGCACATTAAATAAATGGCAAAATCAATGCCTCACATATAATAAAGCAATGACATATAACTATAAATTAAACCACTAAAACTATAAAACTTCAAACTCAGACCTAAAACATATTAGACATTTTAGACATTGCACTGATCCCAAGGTTGTCATCTATCTCCTCCGATAATATCATCTCTCACCGAATGTATATTTACATAATCAAGTTTTCAATTGTTTTCTAAACACCAGGAGGGAGGGGGACAATCTAAGCTCACTGGGGAGGGAGTTCCAAAGCTGAGGGGCCATCATTGAGAAGGCCCTGTCTCTTGTCCCCACCAAGCGCACCTGTGACAGCAGTGGGACTGAGAGCAGGACATCCTCAGCCAATCTTTGAGCTACAAGGGATTGCCTAAGTAGTAAGTAGTAGTAGTCAAAAACCCCTGCCGATGCAAGCAACTATAGCTGAAGCTTTCCTGATGGATGGTTGTCTAACCTCTGTTTAGAAACTTCTAAAAAAAACAAGTCATATCTTCTGAGTTATCTACTGTCCTCTGGACAAATTTCCCAAGCAGAATAAGATGAGATTTTGCATGTGGGAAAGTCATTTTATTTGCTCTGGATCTACTGGTAGGAGGTTCAAGAGGCTTATCTGAAAGGAAGTAATTCTTCACATTGTGACTAGTTAGACTTTGAAATTCACTGTTACACATTGTAGCAATGGTTGTCAATTTATAAAGTTTTCAAAGGAGTTTGGATATATTCATTGGGGTTAGGACCATCAATTGCTCCAAAATGGCTATATATCATTGGCTGTATCAGAGGCATCATAGTCACCATCTGGAAGTTAGGGAGCTGTTCCAGTCATTTCCAGCCTGTGACTGGGCTTCCTGACTGGGCCCCATGTGAGCAAAAGGCTTCACAGTCTGATTAAAAAATAACTCTGATCTCCTCCTTTAAAAGAAAAAAAAAGATTCACTAAACATTTGATAGGTCTTCTTGACAGTGAAGGCTGATGGAGATGGCGGAGGAATCTCCTTTGGAGTTCTTTCAGCAGAATTGGACAACCATCTCTCAAAGTGCTCCTAGTTCTATGGTTCTATTATTCTTATGGATCAACCACTCCTCCTCCTCCTCCTCCCTCCGCCTCCTCCTCCTCCTCCTCCACTTCATATACTATCCAAATATAAGGTTCCTAGGCATGTGATACTTGGGTCTGATATTTATTTGTGTTATAAAACCAGTAAGGCCTCCTACGTTGACACTCCTTCCACAGGGTAAGGAAAGAAAAAAAGGAAAGAAATCAAATACAGCTCTAGGTGCTCTTACTGCCTACTACAGGGAAAACCAGCTGATCCCTAATCCATCTAAAACACAGACATGTTCTTTTCATCTCAAGAACAGACAAGCATCCCGAGCTCTGAGGATCACCTGGGAAGGAATCCCACTGGAGCATTGCAGCACACCCAAATACCTGGGAGTCACTCTGGACCGTGCTCTGACCTACAAGTAGCACTGCCTGAATATCAAGCAAAAAGTGGGTGCTAGAAACAATATCATACGAAAGCTGACTGGCACAACCTGGGGATCACAACCAGACACAGTGAAGACATCTGCCCTTGCGGCTATGCTACTCTGCTGCTGAGTATGCATGCCCAGTGTGGAACACATCTCACCACGCTAAAACAGTAGGCGTGGCTCTGAATGAGACATGCCGCATTATCACGGGGTGTCTGCGCCCTACACCACTGGAAAAATTACACTGTTTAGCCGGTATTGCACCACCTGACATCCGCCGGGAAGTAGCAGCCAATAGTGAAAGGACCAAGGCAGAGACATCTCCAGCTCATCCCTTGTTTGGGCATCAGCCAGCACGCCAACGACTTAAATCAAGAAATAGTTTTCTAAGATCTACAGAGACACTTGCTGGAACACCTCAGCAAGCGAGAGTCCAAAAGTGGCAGGCTCAAATCCAGAGCCTCAATCAATGGCTGATACCCAATGAGAGACTCCCCCCTGGGCACACAGAAGACTGGGCGACTTGGAAGGCGCTGAACAGACTGCGCTCTGGCACCACGAGATGCAGAGCCAACCTTCAGAAATGGGGCTACAAAGTGGAATCCACAACATGCAAGTGTGGAGAAGAGCAAACTACAGACCACTTGTGTTATGAACCCAAAGAGGTTCCTGTTCTTTTGTGCAGAGCGTATAAGGGATAGTAAGGTAGTTTAGATCAATGAGACACTTTAGAGACCAAATTTGGTTTTGCCACTATTCATGTAACATTTATTGAAATACAATCATCACAGAATCATATCAGAATCACATCAAGGAGAGCTCTCTTGCACACACACATTCACGCATACTCACGCGCACACAGGCCTTCTCCATGGCATTTAGAGGCTGAAAGTATCTATGAATCATCCAGCTGTATTCCTGCAGTTCAGAGAAAAGAAAAGACATGGCCCACACTTATCGACATACAACAGTGTAGTCCACCAACAACACTCTGGTTCATTTCTGCTTGAGACACCATGACTGCAGTGTGGTTTGTTGCAACAGTGGTACCAGACCACTTTTTCTTTACTCCCTTAGTGTCTCCACCATTGCTGTTTTAGGGAAATGGAAGCTTCCTACAAGGAGTTAGTTTTATTCCACCTCATAATATTTATTTATTTATTTATTATGATATTTCTACCCTGCCTTTCTTGAACCTGAAGGTGACTCAAGGTGGCTTTACAACATAGGCAGCTATTTGATGCCATTAAAACAATGTAAAAATTACAATAAACATTTAAAACAGAATTATAAAATACATACATTAAAACTTTAAAAAAAACCATATAAAACCACTGCCTTCACTATTAGCCTTGTCATCCAAAAATATCATCTAAGCCATTTCAATATTCTATTTCACATAGATCTGTGTTTATCTGTTGCACTAGGTTCCCAAAGGTTTGTTCAAAAGCCATGTTTTCACTTTTCTGCAGAAGGTCAGGAGGGAAGGGGCTGATCTAATATCCCTAGGGAGGGAGTTCCACAGCTGAGGCACCACCACGGAGAAGGCCCTGTCTCTTGTCCCTGCCAGTTGCACCTGCAAAGAAGGCGGGACCGAGAGCAGGGCCTCCCCAGATGATCTTAAACTCCTAGATGGTTCATAGGGAGAGATTCATTCGGACAGGTAAGCTGGGCCAGAACTGTTTTGGGCTTTATGGGCTACAGCCAGCACTTTGAATTGTGCTTGGTAGCAAACCAGCAGCCAGTGGAACTGGCATAACAAGGGAGTTGTATGTGCCTTGAATGCTGCTCCAGTGAGCAATCTGGCTGCCACCCTTTGGACCATTTGAAGCTTCTGAACAGTTTTCAAAGACAACCCTATCCAGAGTGCATTGCAGTAGTCTATACAGGATATTAATATGTTATTAATAGGAGGAAAAATCTAGAACTGGAGATGCAGTAGCGATACTGCCACCATCCCCTGGTGATACATGGCTATTTGAATCTCACCTTGCCATAACACATTTCATGGGGGAGTCTGCAATCCAACTGCCAGTTCTGTCCATGAATTCTGCTCCTTGCTGTGGATGAGGATTAAAAGATTTTCAGTATGAATGAGGTATTCAAAGGAGTCAAACTTGCAGTTACAATCCCTTTCTCCTTCAGTGACTCAACTGTCAATGGAATCAACAGGGATTTCAAAGAATAAAGATACAGGGGTACAGTTATCCCCTGTCACATATTTTTAGGCATATTCTTATTCCCAAAAAGAAATGCCTTTTAGAAATTGTTTCCCAATTCCAGATATACGGATTAACTTAGCTACCTCAATGGCACTTTACAGAATGCTCTGAACAAGTAACAGCTTTCATCGCTGATTTAGCATTTTAATGTGAAAGCAGAAGGAAAAGATGCAAGTTAGCATAGTTATTTTCTGCTACAAACAAAAACATTATTTGTACAAATAATTATCTTTGATGGTAGTGAGTCTGTATATGAACATGCAAACTGAGCCTGCTCTTCTCCTATTGGATCTTTGTCATTGCATTGATCCAGTTAGACTGACACTTGGGACAGACTTTTCCCAAATAGCAATCAAAAAAACATTCAAAATCATTAACTGATAAGCTTGTGTCTGCCCACTACACAAAATTGGACCATATCACATTAAAAGAAGTAAAAAATCATCCATCCAGTGCTGACCACCAATAGCTTTTGTGTCAATGGGGTTGAAAACCCAAGGTTTTAAGTCTTTAAAGTGGCTATCCAAGGTGCTGAACCATAGTCCTCAATTGGGCTCAGAACTTTGGAAAGTTCCTTTAAAGTTTGAAATTCAACCCAGAATGGATTCATCACCACCCTGGAATAAAAGGCACCAGTTGTCTCTGCTTCCAGGTGAATTGTCGGGTGCCTCGGTATTTGAATTTGAATTTTTGCATTCCTGCTACCTGTTTGGGAGAGGTCTGGCCCAATTCTTTAAAAAATCACTTGTATATGTAAAGGAAATGCCTGGGAGACAGGAATTATGCATTCAGATTCCATATTTTCATGTGCCTTCCCTCATAGAACACTGGACAAGTTCTCTCTATGCATTTCCTCATAGGGAAAGAGGCAGACAAATATTTTATTACAGTCATAAGACTTTTAATAGTGCCTGGAAAGAGATCAGTAGCAGTAGACTGAGTTATAGAGTTG